CTCTCTCTCTCTCTCTCTCTCTCTCGTTTTTTTTTTTATTCTTGTTGTTAGTACCTTCCATCGCTCTCGTTCCTACCACACTACCATTATTTATACTGCTTTTGCTTTTCGTTATGTCCTTCTTTTATTTGTGGTTCTGTCGTCTGTGTCTTTACTTCCGCAGCGACATTTTTTTTTGCCATTCATTTTACAACGAATCTTCAGGAATAAAAGAATGATTCGCCTCAAACGCCTCAATACGATTTTCCTTTGGTGTTGGATGGCCGCTCCCTTAGCTCAGTTGGTATCACGCTGGACTACCGAGCGGGTGTTCCTGGTTCGAATCCTAGACTACACTTTCTTAAACTCGGACCATTTTGAAGAGTTTTCAAGGTTCTCGACTTATTTTGTCTCGGTCCTATCGTCTCTTTAATGACCTAATAGTGTAACACAAAGAATAATACACAAAGAAAAACCGAGCTGATCAAGAAGACAGACAACAGGAAGGCATGAGGTACCATGATCGGCAATGTCTGCTCCAGACCTGACACTTGAAGAAGAAGAAGGAGAAGGAGAAAGAGAAGAAGAAGGAGAAGGAGAAGGAGAAAGAGAAGAAGAAGGAGAAGGAGAAAGAGAAAGAGAAGGAGAAGGAGAAGGAGTGTTGTTAGAGGCGTTAAACAGTCAGTTTGTTAGTGTTTGAACGTTTAACCAGCTGCTTGCACTGCATGCTTCCCGGGAAGCTGAGAGTGTTTCTGAGTGTTCTATGATCTGCTGGGGTAATAATAATAATATGGTGTAAAGGACATAGAGCTTGCTTTCGAGTGGGGATATGCGCTATACAAATGCTATTTATTATTATTTATTATAAACCCATACACTTACTTTTTACTAATTGTTCTGGAAGGTTAGAAGGTTAGTTTCACTTCGCTACCTCAGAATTACAAAGTTTTATCTGCTCAGTACCGAGTCATGACAAATTTGACGTTAAAACTTTTGAGTTTCACAACTTGTCAAGTTTTTTTTTAATGCAGTATTTAGTTATTTCAGTTCAGTTTTAGTAGAGGTTTTACGGCACTCGCAACTGCATAAGGTCATATGAGCGCCAGAAGATTAGAGGTGTCACAAGAGAGTAACAAACATAAAAAAGAAGAAGGGGAGATAAGGACGATAGATGTTTGATAGGAAAGAAGAAGCAAACCACACCAGAGCACCCGCCAACCACCAAGATGCAATTTTTTTAATATCTTGATAACGATTCCGAATAATCTGACGATTTTGATAGAGCGTAAAGAACGTTCAATTTTTTACTTTAATTTTTTAATGGTCTTAGTAACTCAAAACGGCCAAAAATGTCAGATAGAACTTT